AAAAAAGTTTTTGTTTGCATAATATATGTGTGTGTTCTGTGTATAATTATTATGTATATATAAATACACGCACACAGTATATATTAAAAATATATTCTCATATTTACATGTCTGTATTTATATTCATATAATTTATATTATAAATAAATATATTTAATATATAAACATACACATGCATGTATATATTTCAGAAACGTGTTGTGCATTTATATATACATAATAAATATACACAGTACACACACATATATTATGCAAACTTATATATTTAAAATGTTTATTTTATATATTTATTATAATATATTATTATTACAAAAATGGCACTTTACTGTAATAAGAATTTTGGGGGAAAATATATATTTTAATGAAAATATGTGTCATGATAATGCAATGGTCCAAAAAGTCTGAATGAGGTGAGGAATGAGATTCATGTATAAATTATAATTAAATTACAGTATAATTAAATATAATTTAAGATGCCTGTATTTTTGTATAATTAAATGTATTTTATTTCAAATACATTATTTTTTTTTGCGTTGACCTATATATGAAAGTGCAATTGAAGTTCGGGGTGTTTTTTGCTGGTTCTCAGGTGTTCTGGGAAAAGGTATTCTGAGCCGTTCAGCTCCCACCGCAGAGTGCCCAGAACCCTTGTGCCATGGTGGGTAGCGAGAGTACAGAGTAGGATCACCTCATTAGCTTGGACCCGCCGTAGAGTTGCAATTTTAGAAATACTGGGCAACGTCCCATCCCGTGCGACTACAGATCCACTGTCATTCTCCCCCGAATAGTTTCCCCATCTTTCACTCATTCATTCACATTTGATGATGGCTGAGTGACTGGATACTACTCAGTTAGATGCTTGTGGAAACAGTCCTTTAGGAAAACCGCAAACCTTGTTGATGTAGTGCTGAACTGGGATGCTCGATCTACTGCTGGGAATCCAATTCCATCTTCACTCAAACTAAGGTGGTTTAGTAACGTCTTTGGCTGCATCCCAATTCACACGCTTTTAGATAGTCTAGTTGTACTTGTTATTATTGGATGCATCATGTTGGATGTCTTATGTATATAACGATAGAATCCACAATTTATTTGTAGTCCTGTCTTACTATTTCCTTCATATTATGATTTGGTAAGCACTAGTGTAATGCATACTATTTAGTTTGTGTCTGTGCTAATACAAATGAAAGTCTAGCTGAAGATTTATAGGATTAAAGCTAATGTTTTGCAGTGGGTGTGCTTGTGTTCGCTCTCCTCTCAGGTTTTTGAAAGCTCTGAGTTTTGCGTCTCTGGATAAGGAGGACTTATTGAGTCCAATCAATCACTCCACCCTGCAGCGCTCCTCTTCCCTGCGCTCCATGGTCTCTAGCGCCACCTTCGGCTGCAGTGAGGACTACATCGGCCTGGCACTGCCCCTGGACATCAACCACATGTTTCAGGTGCATTTTGTTGTCTTCACCATGTGAACTTTTAGTAATGCATCTGTAGAGTGTATAGAGGCTCATGCGAATTTAATTCTATTTTCATTGTGTTTGTTCAATTGAAGGTGTAGTCATTTTAACTTTTTATTTATTTTTTTGCTCTCACTTTGGGCATAACTCTGATTGTGTGACTTATTTAGGAGAAGCAAGCGTGTGGTAATTTTCCTGATTAGACTTTCTTATTATTTGTTATTTTCACTTGTTAGATGATAAAAAATGCCCAAATAGATTTGCATTAAAGCAGGGAGCCTAGTTTTAGTGACCAAGAAATGTGAAATATAGATGTCAAAAACAGTTTTTTTTTTGTTTTTTTTGCAGAAAATTACTTTTTTTTTTTCAGGTAGGGAAAGTTACTGTAAGAGTGTAAATGTTTGTTTACACATAAGATTTTACTTTATTTTTAGATTAAAGAAACATCATATTTCCAGAAGAGAACAAGCCCCCCTGCTGGAGAAAAATCATCCAAGTTTCTTTTTGGAGAATCTGATGGTATGACTGCTTGTTGCATCACCCTTATATTTCTGTATTTGTTATTATTATTAGTAGTAGTAGTAGGAATAATAATAATAATAATACAATTATTTTTTAATAATTAAATAGAAATTCAGTACCATTCTAATGTTTGTGGTTGGTAAGATTTTTAAATGTTTTTGAGGAAGTCTCTTCTGCTCTTCATTTATTGATCAAAGATACAGTAATATTATGAAATATTATTACAATTTTAATGAATTGTTTTCTATTTGAATATAATTTAAAATGTAATTTATTCCTGTGATG